AGAAATGAGCTGGGTCCATGCACAGGCGTTCCGGCTAGGCGGCGGCGATGAGACGAGGAACACCCTGGACATGGTTCTACTCAACAGGACTGATATCTTCAGGTCAAGTTACAAGGGAAAATCAGATTTTGTGACCACCCCAATTCCTCAAGAAGGCCTTCAAGGTATCTGGGACAAGTTTTTGGAAGAAGATGCTCAGGTTTTAATGATTTTCGACCCTTTTGGTGGGAAAATGAATGATATTTCAGAGTCTGCACTTCCTTTTCCTCATAGAAACGGCACTTTGTACAACGTTCAGTACTTGGTGAAATGGTACCATAACAATGTGACCACTGATGAAAACCATGAAAATTGGATGAAGGAGCTATATCAGTACATGACCCCATATGTTTCACAGTCTCCAAGGGCTACATATCTGAACTATAAGGATTTGGATTTGGGTACTAACCAGGTGGGTAACACAAGCTATGCTCAGGCTAAGGTTTGGGGTGAGACGTACTTTAAGGGCAACTTTGAGAGGTTGGCTAAAGTGAAGAGCATGGTTGATCCGACAAACTTCTTCAGAAATGAACAAAGCATTCCACTTCTTCCTTCTGATGGGACAGAGCAATTCAATTAGAGAAGCCATGGCCTGAACTTTGTGCTTGAAGGTTGTATATGTATCAGGTTTATGGTGTAACATACAAGTTTAACCCATGAAATAACATGCAAATTTTGTTATTATAATCTCAACAAATGCATCATATATGGACCTACACACACACACATATACACACACATTTATGTATCTATGAATGTATGTGTGTCTATATATATATATATATATAAAATACTATCTTCATATTCAACTTATGTTAAGCAATTCAATCTGTTACACACATTGGGCTAAATTTGGAACTTAACCCATTAATTAAATAGATGTAAGCCCAAACCTAAGCAAAGAAAAAATTTTAATGCTAAGGCTAAGTAGTGTCGAGGTGAATGAGATGGGATAAAGAAAAGTCCAATTACTTTATTCCAATTTCGTGAAGTATGAATCAGTGTGTGAATACTTTATGAATGTAATTTTTGAGCCTTCATTAAATAATACAACTTAAAACCGTGAACGTAGCTCAAAATCAACAACATTGTACAATACAAGTCTTAGAATTCACTCATTCTTCAATCTACTTCCAGTTTAGCATCAGTGCTTCTTTGAGGTCACTTTGTCCTATAGTAAACATTTTTTTTTCTATATTATACTACTTATAGGTAGACATATCAACACATCGGGTATAGACCGAATTGTCATATATTCGAATTCGTAAGTTTTTTGCTGATTCGATCTGATCCAATTATCCGACGAATTTGAAAAATTCAATTCATGTCCGAATCTGGTAATTTTTAAAATACCCAATCCAATTCGATTATTATAAAAAAACACATGTACAACAAAAAATTAACAATAAAAATTTAGATAACGAACCAAAAAAAGGAGGGAAATTGAAAGCAAGAGGAAAAATTAGATAAGAGAGGAAAGCAAAATAAAAATTAAAAAGTGGGTCTTACTAATATATATATTTTTAATTCGGATAAGATTATTATAAATCTATAGCTAAATCCGTTTTGACAACTCTAATAGGATCGGATTAATGGATTGAAAATTGGAAAAAAAATACCAATAAATCCTACTTTTTTGTTCCAAAAAATAAGTAAGTCCTATCAAATTTGTACTTGAACAATCAAGTCCTAGTTTTCCTAATTACTTCTAAAGAAGTCCTAATTTTTACTATATTTCATTTTTATCCTTTTAATATTTATTAATTACAAAATTTTCATTATTTTCTTTTAATTGAAAACCCACAAAATAAGACAATCAAGGGTCTTGTTTCAACCCCACTGACGGTTGGGAAGAACATCAAAAAGGCTCTTGCAGCTCTCCAATTCTTATTTTTTCAAGTAAGTTAATCTAATCTTTGTAGTTGAGGGATAAATACTGTTTTCGTGATGTCAAAATAACTAAATTTGTAAATCAAATCTATTTCTTT